TTTTTTATTTTTTAAACCCAGTTTTGAGAGCGTGGCAATATTCCTTGAAAAGATTTGTTCAGTTTTTTTTCCTTTTGATAAGGCAGAAAAATTGCATTAGAAAAATACGCATCCCAGTTTAAAATTAACCAAAATGAATTTAATTACATCCATAAAGTTGTATGTGGAGAAAATGTGTAACGAATCGGGACCAGGAATGAAGACGATATTGCTAGACAAAGATACAGTATGTACATGTATTTATTTCTTGATTTATAAAAACTTGCATATGCTTAATTAAGATGAATATTACCTGCAGACCAGTATTATATCAATGGCATTCAGCCAATCGGATATGCTACAACGGGAAGTGTACTTGTTTGAGCGGTTAGATTCGGGGCGTTCCAATGAGCGTATGAAGAACCTTAAATGCATCGTATTCATTAGGCCCACTAAACAAAATGTGCAACTTCTGGCTGATGAGCTCCGTAGCCCAAAGTATGGCTCATATTTTATTTGTAAGTAAACAATTTATAGATTCCAAGGGAAAAACTTAAAATTTGTTTGTAAGATTTCAGTAACATCATTCCGCGGACCGATATCAAATACCTAGCGGAATGCGATGAAAGTGAGTCAGTACGCGAGGTGAAAGAAGTATACGCTGACTATCTTTGCGTCAATCCGAATTTGTTTTCGCTCAATATAAACTGCAGCATGTATCGTCTTAATTGGTTGCCTGAGGCACTCGGCCGCACTGTACAGGGCGTATTGGCTGTGTTACTATCGCTGAAGCTCAATCCGGTTATACGCTATCGTGCCGGCTCGGCAGTGGCGCAAACTTTAGCAAAACAAATATACGAACAAATTTGCAAAGAGTCAAGCCTTTTCGACTTCTCGCGTACTCATGAGAACGGCGCGGCTCCGCCGCTGCTGCTTATACTCGATCGACGTGACGATCCGGTTACGCCCTTGTTGCATCAGTGGACGTATCAGGCAATGGTGCATGAACTTTTATGCATACACAATAATCGTGTTGACCTCTCCAACACACCTGGCATACCGAAGGACTATAAGGAGTTAGTTTTGTCTGGTGATCAGGACGAGTTTTATGGAAAAAATATGTACGCCAACTTTGGTGAAATCGGCTCGACAATCAAAAATTTAATGGAGGAATTCCAACGAAAAGCTAAAGATCAGAAAAAAGTTGAAAGTATTGCTGATATGAAAAATTTCATTGAAACGTATCCCCAATTTAAAAAAATGTCGGGCACCGTGCAAAAACATCTTTGCATAATGGGTGAGTTATCATCGCTTACTTCGAAGCGCAATCTCTTTGAGGTATCCGAGTTGGAACAGGAAATTGCATGCAAAGCAGAACATTCAGCACAGCTACAGCGTATACGCAAAATTATAGCCGATGAACGCATTTCAGTGGACGATGCCATCAAATTAGTTGCGCTCTATGCGCTGCGATATGAGCGGCATGCCAATTGCGATACGTGCAGCTTGTTGCAAATTATCAAAACGCGTGGTGGACGCACGGCCATTGTGCCCAGTTTAATTGAGTATGCAGGCACTCACATGCGACAAGGAGAGATTTTTAATTTAGTACGCATTTCCGATGCAGTCAAGCTGACGCGTAATTTAATAAAGGTTTGACAAATAATTAAGGAACGAAGGAAATTGATTAAAAAATATACATATATATTTTGCAGGGACTTAAAGGCGTCGAAAATGTTTTTACACAACACACTCCGCTACTCAAAGAAACATTAGAGGAAGTGTTTAAAGGTCGTGAACTAGATCCAATGTATCCAGCGATTAACTCTGAGCTTGTGCCATTCCGACGTCCGCCGCAAGAGGTGGTGGTTTTCATAATTGGTGGCGCAACATACGAAGAAGCTCTGGCAGTACACCAGCTTAATAATGTAGGTTACAAAGTAATACTTGGCGGTACGACTATACATAATTCGGAAAGTTTCATAAATGAGGTTTTAAACGCCACTGAGGGCATACAATTCAAACATACCAAAACAATGTTAAAATACATTTCCAGCGATAATTATTAGACTATGCCATTGTCACCGCCTCAATGGCTGAAGTGGGCTTATTGGCTTTTTTCTTGTACAATGTGTTTATTATTATATTAAATATTTATAAGTACATATTTATAGGCCTACGTTTACCTTACCCATCTATATAAGTATTTATTAATTGTATTATCGATGTATTTTATTTGTTATAACACTACTGATATACAAATATAAAAGTTCTTGTACTATCAGAGAAGCACTCACCACATATTCAACCCATAAAAACCGTGTTATAACAGCATAAAAAAGTCCCCAAAGAGTTTTTGGGGAGTGAGCTGGATTGACAAGGTCTGGGTTCCGTTCCGGTTACGTAGACCCGACTGTCGTGGGAACGATAAAACCTTCAAATTCATGTGTTTAAGTTATCGGCTATGTGGAGCGTAACCACTTATGATATTCTCATACTCCACCCGTATAGAAATTTCGAATGAAATCACTGCTTTTAGTTGTCCATTTATGTATTAGCATTTATTGAGTTTCTTTGAGGTTTACAATTGTTTTCATATTGTTTAAACTAACTTCCTGTAAAAGTATGCAGACGGCTTACTTTTTTAACTTATTAACCGCAGTCGAGTAATAACAAATCATTGTCCACTTAGATAATTTTGGGTTCCAATATTTAAATAAATCTTGTGAAACAAAAAATATTTATTTTTTTTTAAACTTAAGATCGTATAACAAAGATCCTATTGTCATTTACAAAGTCAAAGTCAAAATTGTCCTTATAACGGTTAAGTTTTTTGAAGGCGCCGTGTTGCCCGGCGTATGGGTCGATCTCCTGCAGCACCGCTGACTGCAGCAGGCGCTGCAGGCGGTGCAAATATATTTGCAGCAACTGTGGGTGCCGCGCCTGGCACTGGGGTGACACCACTCGAGGTACCAGCTGAAAAACTAAATGGGGCCACAGAAGTTTGCTGTGCGCTCTGTGCACCACCTCCGAAAATGCTACTAGCATTTACTGCCGGAGCAACCGAGGCAGTGTTGCTGCTGCCAAAAGTGAACGTTTTGTTTGCTGTTGCAGCCATATTAGCGCCACCAAAACTAAATGGAGCTGCCGTTGAGGATGCAGCTGCGCCACCGTTCGATGTACCACCAAATGCGAACGGTGTGGTGGAATTGGAAGCTAATGTTGAAGCAGCGACCGCCTGTTTACTGCCTGTCGTGCTGGCGTTGAAAGAAAAGCCACCAGAAGCCGGTTTACTTGCTGCAGCGGCGAAGGGATTTGATGAAGGGTTGTTGCTTGTGGCCCCACTGCTGCCGAAGCTGAATGTTTTGTTACCTGGATTGCTGTTGGCAGCTGCAAGTGCACCAAATGTATTTGTACTGCTCGTGTTGCTGGCTGCGTTTGTTGCAGCTCCACCAAATATAGACTTTGCGGCATCGTTGGTATTTGTGGGTGCCCCACCAAAGTTAAATGCAGGTTTCGCTATGCCTGTGTTGGCTGTTGGCGCTGCTTGATTAGTAAGGCCAGTTGATGCAGATCCGAATATATTGGTCGATTTCGTGTTGCCTGCGTTGGCTGCAGCAGCGGTAGCTGTGCCAAAGCTGAATCCGCCAGAGTTGCTCCTGGTGGTCGGTGGTGCAGAAGACGCTACCGCTGGCTTATTGACGTTGGTGGCACCAAATGCGAAGGGTGTTGTAGACGGCGCATTAGTTACTCCGAATGCAGATGCTGTGGGAGTCGCACCGGCCGCACCGAAGGCTGGAGTGCCAGCTTGGGCACCAAACGTGAATGCACCCGTTTGGGTGGAAGTGGGATTGATGGCACCTGCAGTATTGTTGCCGAATAATTTGTTCTCACTTGTCGTAGAAGTGCCACCGAATGCGAATAAATTGCCGCTGGAAGAGTTATTCTTCCCTGCGACGCCAAGTGGGTTAGCAGCGTTCTCTCCAGCGCCACCGAAGCTGAAAACAGGCTTATTGCTGCTCGAGCTTGTTGTAGTCACTGTTGTCGCACTGATTTGTGTACTCGCGCCAAAAGCGAAGGGAGTGGCAGCTGTGGCAGTTGCGGTGGTGGTTACTGCAATGGATTTCTGACCACCAAAAGCGAAAAGATTTGTTGCTGCTGTTGCAGGTGCTTCTGTGCTTGTTGCGACTGGAACAGCACTACCAAATGAGAACTTCGGTGCTGTCGGCATGGCACTTTGAGCTGTTGAAGCGGCGCCGCCAAAAGCGAAGGGCTGGGCAGTTGACGTTGTCGGAATGGTAAATGCACTGTTTGCTGGTCCGCTGCCAAACACCATTGGCGGTTGCGCAGCAGTTGTGGTTGCTTGACTCGTGGCAGTAGAAGATGCGTCTGCGGCTGCAGTTGATGAATTAGTATTGGTGCCAAAAGTGAATGTGCTGGTAGCAACCGCAGCAAAAACGGGAGCTGCCGTTGTGGCTGCTGGTGTCACGCTTCCGCCAAAGTTGAAACTGGGCTTCACCACAGCAGTGGATGTGTTAGTGGGTGCACCGCCAAAAGCGAAAACGGGCTTATTTGTTGCTGTACTTGCTGAAGTGGATGTAGAAGCCGCAGTAATGGCAAAGCTACCAAAGGTAGGCGCGGCAGTAGTTGTTGGCGCTGCCGCATTTACTGCTGTTGAAGCTGCTGAAACTGCAGGTTTTTGAGTTGATCCGAAATTAAATCCGCCAATATTACTCGCTGATGTGACTGTAGTAGCTGCGGTTACTGCAGCAGTGGTTAAAGTTGCAGTTGTTGCAACAGGTGCGGATGTGTTGCATTTTGCTGTTGAACCGAAAGAAAATCCTTGTAGCTGAGGTACAGCGCCGACACCTGTTGCTATTGTGCCCTCAACAGATTTGATGCTGCTGGTAGATGTTGCGGAAGTGGCGCCGAAGTTGAAATTTGGTGCTGCAGTGCTTGTATTAACACCAAAGTTAAGTGCCGTCTTCTGAGGTGTTAGTTTCAAGCCGACTAAAGGTGAAGTCGTTTTTGGAGGCGAAGCAGTTGCAGTTGGCGAAGCGTTTGTTGTAGATGCGCTACTGACTGTGACAGCTGAAGTTGTTAATTTGAAGCCTCCAAGACTGGGAGACGTGATTGTTGTCGGTGTGGACGAAGCTGAAGTGGCACTGGTCGTTGCCTTTGGAGTCGAGTTTGCGGATGTCTTGTCTGCAGAAGTGGTCAAGCCAGGCGCGCCAGAACTTGTTGCAGCTGGCGTTGGAGTTTTCATAACGAAATTAGTGGATGCGGGAGTAGTGGTTGTAGACGACTTTGTGCTTGCGGTCGTGGCCACTTTGCCGTTAGAGATCTCATCATTGGCAATACTATAGCTTTGTTTTGCATTTTTACCTTGCGGTTTATTGGATATTTTATCCACTTGGTCATAGCCTTCCTCACCCTGATAAATTTCTCCGCGAAGGCCACTTAGCATCATAGCCAGTTTCGACTTCTGGGTTCGCTCAATCAATGGGTTCTTTTTATTGACAATAGCAGTACTCTTTTTCGGTTTCACGAACTGTATATCAGCGCATTCGCCGTCATCTAAATCAGTGCTGTTTTCAACACTCTGTTCATTAATACCATTTACATTATTCGAACTCGATGATACATTGTAGTCTCGATTGAAAAGCGTTATTTTAGGCTTCTGTGGTTTACTGTACTGTACTTGTCTAGTTGCCAGGGGCGGTTCTGAGACGGTGCGTTTTACCGCTTCTGTTGTTATAGAAGATGCCTCAGTTTTGTGCTCTGAACTCTTCGTAATTGCAGGCATAGCATCGCTCTGAGATAATGGAGTCGTTGGTATAGGCGTTATTGGCGTGTTACAACTCAGACTCTTTGTTAATTGCTGGAAGCGCAAGTCGGATTGTTGACGTAGAATCTTTGTTTTCTGTGTTTCGTACTCCTCTCCACGAGATGGCGGTGAACTATTGATTGGTGAACGCTGTTTCTCGTAAAATTTCCTTTTGTTTGCGTGTATGAGGCTTGAGCTAAGTGAACTGGTAATGTCATTGTTGTAACTGCAGATGCGCTTTTTCGCAATTTGCTCTGGTGACCGCTGAGATTGCATTGCAGGATTTGGACTAGTAATTGTTGTCGCACTTGCAACGCTGTTCTGTGCATATTGTAGTGAGTGCTGTTGTGGAGTTACCATGTGCTCTCTTTGACGTTTATAGCTCTGCGCGGGAGCAGTCATAGTTGGCACAACCAAACCTATGTTGCGTAAATCAGTAGGGATAACTGACTGTTCATATGGAGCATCGTTGCAATCCCGGTTACAATATTTTTTGTTAGTGTCATGTATACCATCTGATTCCTGTAAAATATTGACTTAAAAAACTCGTTGAAAACACCCTATATGCAGCTCAAAACTTACATCACTGTTAATGCGTTTACGTGAGATCTCTTTTAGAACGTCCAGGACACTTCGAGTTGGGGCGAGATCACTTTCTGTTGGCGGTGGATGCAATATAGGTCTATTTTCACAAGATAGCTCCTCATCACTCTTTTGTAAGCTAATTACAGAATTTGAACGCAGTAAACTTGAAAGTGTATTCCCATAGAAAACCGATTTCTCTAAAAATTTTGGAAATAGTAATTTAAAAAACTTGTATTTAATATCTAGTTGCGTTTTTAAAACTTACTAGGTGGTGCAATTCGCGTCATCAGTACATTCTGCTGTGTTGCTCTATAGGGCAACTCACTTTTTTGAAGTTGCGCTATTGAAGAATGTCCGTTTTTGCCATATAGATTACTTGCCGACATACTTCGGTTTAGCCGCGAACCATTCTCATGATATTGTACAATTCGTGATACTAATCCACGACTTTGAACGTCTGCATATATTCTGAAGTGAAGTGAAGGTTTAGTTTCACGCTTTATAGCCAGTGCTATTGTACATATATGTAAATAAGTAATGTAAATTATGTTTTAGTAGTTTC